AGAAGGCTGTGTCCGAGCGCACACTCTACGGTAAGAAAGGCCCACGGATTCCAGAACCTCCCAGGTTCCCCACCGTCCTGCTAAGCTCCAGACCAGGGCAGGACATGGAGTTGGTGCCTTCGAACTTGGGCCAAGGTCAAAGCCTTCTTCCTGTTCTGCTTGAGGACACCCTGCTCCAGACCTGGGCCAACCCTATATGACTGCAGGTTTCTCGTTTTCTCTTCCTCGTGGCCTCTTCTGCCTCTCAGGGCGAGCAGCAAGGGGTCTCAGCCGCAAGCCTCTTTTTGTAAAGGGCCAGAGAATGCGTACTTCAGCTCTGTGTTGTTTCTTTCTCTCCTTTTTGAAAACAACCCTTAAAAACATGCAGATTGTTCTTAGTGCCAGAGCCCTAGAGAAACAGCCCCCGTGGGTGTCACTGGCCAGCCTTGGGCCCAGCATGGCGTCTGGATGCACAGCTGACCCCCCGGAGAGCTTCTAAGAGCTCCACTGGTGATAAGACCCCTTTTTTGGCCCTCTCTCCCCACGCACAGGAGGACGCACCCCCTGCCTGTTGCTGTGACAGCATGCCGGGCCCATGCCTCGGCTTTGATGGGGGAGATAAATACCTCAGGCCTCAGGGAGCCGTGGTCTCTCTGGCAAGGGCATAAGAATGAGGCCTGGGAGCAGACTGGAGCCCAGAGCAGACTGGACCCGGAGCCCAGTGTGGCTTCCAGCATCCCTGCACATGGGCCTGGCTAACACAGCGCACCCACCTTCCCTTTCTGACTTGGGTTTCGCTGATAGGGTGGGCCCTGGGGCCAGAAGGTTAAAAGCCTCCCCTGGTGGCATGACACACCAATTAGGAACCAGGCGGCCAGGATCCCAGCCTACTTCGCATCTCCTCACTGTTGCCCTACCCTGCTTCCAGGCCTCTGGCACAGGCCCTGCACAGAGAGGACCACATTACGTTTCTGTACAAAGCCTCCACACACCACCCTCTGGAGCCCAGCAAAGGGAACAAAATGCTCTGGGATGACCTGTTGTGCCTGACTGTCCCATTTTTAGCACTTAAGTCCCTGTACCCCAGGACTTCCTCAGGGCCAGGTGTGACGGGATGCTGGTCACCCTCTGAGGACTCAGGGCCCAGGTCTAGGCCTGGCCAGTGGTACAGCTCACCATGTGGGGGAAGGGCAGTGGCTGGGGTCTGAGGTACGGGTGCTTCTCATTCCACACAATGAGCCGGGAGGTTCTCAAGGCCCCAGACCCAGGCCGTGCCCCAGACCAGCCACCTCGGCACTGTGGGGCTGGAGCTGTGCTGAGGGCATGTTCCAATCTCCAGGCCTCCAGGTGACAGTGACATGCTGCCAAGGCTGGACCTTACCACCCTGGATTCCGGGCAGGGTCCCTGGATTTCCCTGGTGGGTGCACGAGGCTGGGGAGCACACATAGCCTGGCCTGGATGTCGCTGGGGACAGACCAGTGGGTGGCTGAGAGTCAGGAGCAGTCACAGGCTTATGGGGATGCTCACTGAGCCGGCTTCATTCACAGGAAGTGTGGCTGTGGGCAGCGTGGTTGCCCCCACCCCTTCAACCACCTGTGGCCTTCTACCGCCGCCAGGGGCCAGTGCAGTGCACGGCACAGGGGGAATTTCGGAACAGAGCAGTGGCCAGAATTCATGAGGTCCGGGCGCCAGTGTCCCATCTAACACTCTGGGGCTGGTGATTCCTTCCCTGGTTCTCTGGGCAGCAGAGACAACCAACATAGCCAACAACACACCCACGGAGAAGAGGACAGCTCGTACTCTCATGTCACTGCATAGTTGCTCCATCATTTAACAGATGAGGAAACCAAGGCTCTGGGAGAAGAGATGGGACAGCTTTTCCAGGGTCAAGAGGTACAGGATAGTGTTGAACCTGGCACTCAGTGGCAGCTCTGTAGGTTCAGAAAGGCTCAGCCACTCACCTAAGGTGCACAGCTAGTGAGTGGAAGAGCCCAGGCCTCCACGAGACACCCAAGCCTGCAAGTTGCCAGATCCCAGACTAAGAGAGAACGGGAAGGAGACAGGGGACAGCCTTTACAGAGTCACTCTCTGCAGGGCCTGGTGGCCATGTTCCTTCTTCACCTCCCCAGGCTTGCGGTCAGTCCTGTATGTTTACACAAGAGGAAGCTGAGGGGTTAAGTGACGTCTGTATCCTGGACTCACGTCCATGCTAGTCTTGATGGCTGCAGGGGGAACTGTCAGATGCACACAGAACTGAGACCTTACTTACACCCTCTGGGCCTCAGTTTCCTCATGTGCGAATGAAGATAATTCAAGCTACTGGCTCACTGGCTCTGCTGCCAGTGGGATGCGCCAAGAAGCCCAGAAGAGGGAGGTGAGGTCAAGAGAGGGCAGGAGATGAGGACGGAGCCGCTCTCCCAGGGGCTGTGAGAATGAGCCACAGACCACACGCATCCCAGAGGCCACTCCAAGGACAGCATGCACCCCTCTCTGCGCTCTGCGGGGACCCTGCCCCCTCAGGCTTACTGGTGCTCACTGCATTCGGGCTGAGAGGAGAGAAACAGCTCCTGGGTTGTGGAGCCATTTCTATAGTAACCACAGCCCCCACACTTCCTTCCCACTTTAAAAAGCAACACAAAGGAGAGCGAGAAGGGTCAGTGACAGTGATGAGCTCTAACCAGCTACGCGGGGCTCCCTTGTCCATGCATCTCACCCACCCAGAGCATATCAGCCACACTGGTGTTGTGTGTGTGTGTGCGTGTGTGTGTGTGTGTGTGTGTGTGTATGTGTGTGCATGTGTGTGTCCTGTTTGCTTTTGGTTCGTCTTGCTCCACAGGGCTTTGGAATCCAGTCAATTAAACAAAGAGCAGCACAATCATCTCACACTGGGGGGCCCTTTCAGATCCGATCTCATCCACATAAGGTGTCTGTCACCATCAGAGCCTGTCTTGCAGACGGACGCAGCTGGAGCTGCTCACCCAAGGCCACGCACGCCAGCCTGGCTGCAAGCAGGACACGGGCCCCGACGCCTCGTCTCTGTCCACTGAGGTTCCAGAGCACACAGGCCCGTTGCTGCGAACTTTCTATACAGCACCGTGCAATGTTCACCCAGGTCTAGGTAAGTGCCAGTGACAACAGCTGCCCTTGTTCTCTGAAAGAAAATGCTCTGGGACCCGTGACCTAAAGTGCTGACACCTCTGCTCCTGTGGCTCAGAAGCCCTGGGTGTGCAGGTGAGGGCTGCATCCACGGGGGCAGAACTGGCCTACGCTCATGATGAGCGGCTCGCTCCATCTCACGGGGGCTAAGAGTCTACCCTGTCAGTGAAGACAGTCAGTGCCACAGCCTGGGTGCACATATTGAGTCTAGAGCGGTCCAGGGGGTGGGTAGGGGGCTGGCAGGACATCTGCTGGGGCCAGCATTACTCCACGCATGCCCAGGTACCAAGAGCCCAGGCGCTCCTGCTTTGCCGGCCTAAGCCTATCCCCTGATGTCAGCGGAGGCCTCTGTTTATGGACAGAGGCATGGCAGCAGTGACGCTGGATTTGTCCAGGTTCATGTTGACAAAGCCCAAGCCTGCCCTCCCAAGCACAGAACCCTGGGACTGGGTCCCCCTCCCAGCGTGCCTGGCATGGCAGGGAGGAGGAGCCACATGGCACTGTGGCCAGCTCCAGGACCTGCAGCTGCCCTGGGTGGTCCTCAGGTGGGCCAGGGATGGGCGTCTCAGTGTGACATGCAAGGCCAATAAAACCCTGCCGACCCGGGAAGGTGGCTGGTGGCTGGCAGAGCTGAGAGTTTGTCTCTGGGTGCATCTGGCCACAGACAGCATGCTGGTGCCTGCAGGTCAGTGCGTGTGGCAGCTCGCCCTTGTGGCACCTCATATGTGTCCCAATAAAAAGTTCATTTGGAATGGGAGATAGGTGGAAACTGCTTTGCTTGACCTCTCACCCTTTTCAATGGCCCTCATGAAAGTCTAGAGTCCAGCCACAACTTTCACTTCAAGTGTAATTGCCGGAAAATGAGACCCAGGTCCCAGTCCTCTACAGCAATAAACTAACTCAGCAGTTAAGTCCTTGTGGAGCAAAGTTGGGCACAAATTAAAAAAAAATCTGTTCCTTCCTATGCTAGAGGTTGACCCAGACTGCAGAACCCGGGAACTTTACCTCTGTTCCATCAACTCAGGAGCTGTGGACAGGAGGGCTGAGAGCACGTGAGGACAAGGGAGACACAGAAAGAACATGAGATCCTGCACGTGCGTACATGGAGCCCACATTGTAGGGCAGGAGGAAAGGGCCAGAGAGCTCCGCTCAGGTCCATTCATAACCTCCAGCGAACACTGGGGAAGCCTGAACCTTGGGCTTAGTACCCATGATGACAGGACATAGCGACCTACAGGGTGTTGAGACTAGTAATGTGGACCATGGGGCACACCCTGGCCTGGTGGCCCTGGGGCCACCTTTGGCTGCTGGATTGAAAATGAGGTCCCTCCCATTTCCTTCATCTTCCTAGTGGAATGGAACCAGTGCCATGTCTAGAAATAGAAGGTAAAAATAATGTAAAAATAATAATCAAAGTACCAAACAATGCAGTTCATTCTGGTTCTGAGCTCTGCTGAAAGGAAACGCGTGTTACAGAGATGCTAAAAATGTACTATTGCTAAAAACAAACTAAACCCAGACTTTCTGCAAGACATGATCAAATGTGCTGAATGCACATTGAGAAAGGAGGACTGTCTTGAGTAACGAGCCGATGTTATTCAAGGGCCATGTCATGGGCCAAGGAGAAGCACCTCACATACCACCTAGACACCTCTGAACACTGAGTACCACTCACATGTTTACTCTGGTAGTGACAAGACCAAGGCTCATGGGGTCCTTGAGGGCAGGCAGGAGAAGGTAGTCACAGTGGCCCCAAAGGGCACTGCTGCCACAGCCTTCCCCATGCAAGTTCGGGGACGGGATGCTGAGCACACAGCTGGGGATGGGACTCTCAGACATCTCCCTGCCCGCTGAGGGACCTTACCTGGGCGGGAGCACTGCAGGACAGATGAGCCAGGTCTCCGATTCTGGCCGCAGCCCGGGGATCGCTGGAACTGATCAAGACCGGAGCGCTAATTTCCATGGAGTGCCTGTGGCTTGTGGCTTGGGAGGACTTGTGTGTCACACTGAGCGCGGTGAAGGAGTGGCGCTTCTTGGCATTCTTCTTGCTGTCCACACGCCGCTGAAAGGCACTGACCGCCCCCGTGCTGCTTAATGCGGGTCCTGGGGCCGCACTGGCTGCCGCGCCAGGGTCAGAGGGCAAGGGGGCGTGGCAGCTCGACGCAGCAGCTGGGCATGGCTTGTCCATCTCAATGAGCTGCTTGGCGGAGTCATTGAGCTAGGTGAGAAAGGGAGAGGGAGGCTTTGTTAAGTAGAGGTCACATGCTCTCCATGCTGACAGCCCGCGTCCCCTATTAAACCCAACCATGTGTTCACAGTCCCCTAGATCTTGCCAAGGGGCCTCCCTATAAATGGCGCCGGGCACAGACACAGCAGAGGCTGTGGTGACATCTGTAGATTTTATTGAGCAGCTCTTTTGTCTGCCCCGGGGTAGCCCCGATCCTTTCTGGGGGTGTCCGTTTCTGGGGTGTGAGGTACAGACCTGCAGAGGGCGTGGGACAGAGAAAAAGGAGGAAGGAACGCCCACCTGTGGGCCCCACACTCGCCACGGTGACAGGTTCTGGCCTGCCTGGGACAGTTCTGGCCACGCTAGCAGAAAAAGGCAAGGTACGTGACCAGAATGCACTTTTTGTCCCCTGAGGACTGCAGGTGGTAGGGAACACCCGACCTGCTAAGCAGGAAGCACAGATGCTCTGGGCAGGACTGGGCTCCACTCAGCCTGTTAAGACCCAGAGCTGACCCTGGCCCCCCACGCTGTGAGGAGGCAAGACCGCACTGTTTCCAGCGATTCTGCAAGGACTCAGGGCACAGCTCCTTCCCTTGTCTCCACACCTCTTCCATAGAAAAGCAGATGCTTTTACAAGAAAGATTGTCTTTGACAGAAGTTTCATCCTAGGTGGTGTTTGTCAGGAAAGGTGTGATGGGATCGAGTCTGTGAGCAGCCTGTGGTAACTGGGGTCAGCTCTCCGGGTGACTGTGGTAACTGGGGTCAGCTCTCCGGGTGACACCCTGTCTGAGGCACCAGTTTAGGGAAGGCATGAGTCCTCAGAGACCACTGTGGGTGATCTGAAGCCTCACGAAGGAATGGGACTGGGCAGGCTTCACAAGGTTAGGCTGCTGTAGGCTCAGACGGAAGTGGAGGCGGGTAGGCACAGGGAGGGGTTCAGGGGACTCCACAAAGCTGGGAGGTCCCTGCAGGCAGGTAGAGAAGAACAGGAACCAGCTGCGGATCTATAGGTCACGTGGTGCGGGAGCCACACCCATGCCCTCAACTGAGCCGGGAACATGGCCTGGAGCTGGGTTGGGGGGCCACACCAGGAAGGGCCACGTCGCCACCTGCAGGGGCGTCTGGATTAGGGAATATTCTTCAGTCCTGGGATGGCAGAGGAGAAACACCAGGTCTTCATGCACCGTTCACGACTAGCATTTGCCGCTGGTAGCATCTTGATGAGTTAATAATAACACTAATAAAAGGTCCCTCTGCATTGGAGCAGTGAGAGCCTGGGAGGCTTCATCTCCATAATGCCAGCAGATCACACACACAGCAGCTGGCCGTCCAGCCACCCACAGACAGCCCAGGCAAGGCTGCAGAGCTGTCAGCATTTCCATTACAAATACCTGCCTTTCCGAGGGAGGTTCTGAAAAACTCACTGTAGGCCCCAAAATGTGTGATCTAAATCCAGGATTATTTCCTTTGAAACGTTTCTTCCAACTAGGCTCAGCTGTTTTGCTCTATTTTATGACTTTATTCATTTGCTTCCTCCACAGGCTCGCCTCCAGAACAAGCCAGTGGCCGGTGCCTCCCGGCCCCCTCCGTGGGCTGCTCCGAATGAACACCCCAGGGCTGGCCTCCTGGAGCCCAGTGCTGTTCACCCATGCAACGGAGCCAAGAGGACCAAGGAGAAACAGGAGGCAATAGGGACAATGCCTTTCCTTTATGGGCACAGATTCGGAGCACAGACTCCACACTTTCTGCCCTGTCTCTCCATGTGGGACATTATTGCATCGACATGATGGCACCAATAATGGCCAAGGCTCGGCGAAAATAACTCAGTTCTTCCCCAGAGCAGCCGACCGGGACTGTATCAGATACTGCATGGTTTAGCTGCATACGAGGCAGCGACAGAGCAGGGGTGTACACATCACCAGACAACATGGAGCCATGACCTGAGCCAAGGCCACCCCGGTCAGTCCTCCAGACATGCCCCCGGCGGGCTGCTTACAGCCAAGCATGCTGCCTCCTCCCTGATGGATACTGGGGTGGGGGGCAGCGTGCCTTTCTCACCCATGCCCACAGTGGGCACCGAGAGGGAAGGCCAATGAACATCCACGGAAGATAGGTGTTCTCAGCCAGCTGAGGGAGTCAGGAGGGCGGCTTCCTAGTGGTGACTCTCCACACATCATCAGTGGACTTAGGGTCCCAGACATCTCAGCAGGAGGCAAGGGACATATCAACGAAAGACCCTCCTGATGAAGAAAGTTCAGTTTTATCTTCTTGACTGAGTCTTTGCTTTTCAAGTCTGTGCCTGGGTCCCTGAGGTGACACTCACGGTTGGGGGAGCTGCCATCAACAAGCTCTGATTAGCCATGATGAATGATGCTCAGGGCTGGGTCTGGCAGCTGGCATCACCAAGGCCAACCCAGTCCACAGGGCCCGTGACTGCGGACACCCCCATCCAGTAGCATCTCCCCTGGACAGCAGCTCCTGCTTTGCACCCCTTAGCTGCAGCCTTGGTTTCCCATTTCCTCATACACCAAGTGAGGGCAGTGTCTGCTTGCCTGCCCACAGCCGTCCATACTACAGGAAACCACAGGATTCTGCTCTCCTGTGCATAGGCTCAGCCCCACCTCGTTGGCCTGGGGGACCCCGGCCAGTTAGCTTGGGGGTCCTGGGGGGCCGAGGAGGCAGTGAACATTGAAATCAGCCCCCTTCTTCCCACTACAAGCAGAATTCTAGAACATTCTGTGAGTGGCTGCTGACTGCCAACCGTGAAGAGTGGTATGTGGTGGGGAGAATGAGTGTTTCCTGTTATTCTGCCCCAGGATGCTCCCTGCTCCCCACCAAGATGCTTCTCTGGCAATGAAAGAGCTCTGCTTCTCCCTCTGAATGTGGCTGGTCCCCTAATCTGTTTCTCCACCCCCACAGAGACAGAACACCTAGGCATAGACGGCACACACACACACACACACAAACACACAACTGATGATTAATGAATGCACCTAATAACCCCCATTTTGACTGTTTTTGGGCAGGAATAGAAGACATTTCCGACTTCCATACAAAATGAAAACAAAGTAGTGGCACCAGCACGTGAAAGTCTTGCTGGGTTTGTACATGGATCGCGAGGATGGTCACTGGCCTTCTCCCTCCCACTGTGCGGGAGGCCCTCTGCCCCAGCGATCCCGAAGTCCAAACACTCAACAGCCACACACATTTCCTCCTCCTCGGGTCCGGTCTTGCTGGGAGGACAGTACCGGCCAGTCACAGCTGCACCCTCATCAGGGATGTCCGTCTCTGGCTTAAGACCCTCTTCGTAGGACTCTGCCTCACCATCTTCATCAGCTCAGATGTGATCTTCCTCCACACCACTCTTCCCTCCAGCCACAGAAACATCTGGAAATGGAACAACTGACGAGTTTCTTCTTTCCACTGTTCAAACTGTTCCATATGAAGTCCTCTTAAATGAGTTACTGGTGGAATCCTAGCTGCATGTGAATTTTGGGACCAGGTTAAATAAAGAAGCCTTTACCCATAGGCTCACATGAGCCCCAAGGCCCCTTCGGTGAGCCTGAGGCTAGCAAGGGATTTGGGCACCTGGCCCAGAAATGTGCCAGAGCTGGGGGCCTAGGCAGAACACGATTACCCAGAAATCCCCAGCTCTGGTCAAGAGGACTTTAAACTGAAGGTAATGGGGGAGGGGATTTTTTTTTTTTTAAAGATTTTATTTATTTATTTGACAGAGAAATCACAAGTAGGCAGAGAGGCAGGCAGAGAGAGAGGAGGAAGCAGGCTCCCTGCTGAGCAGAAAGCCCGATGTGGGGCTTGAACCCAGGACCTGGGATCATGACCTGAGCTGAAAGCAGCGGCTTAACCCACTGAGCCACCCAGGCGCCCCGGGGGAGGGGATTTTTAAAGAAAGAATGAGATTGGAAAACCAGGCATACAGGCTGATATCAGATATAACATGCAAGAAAGGACAATGGGGTGAGGCATGCCCTGTGGTTCTCAAGCAAAGTAATAGGGAAGCCCTTCCAACCTAACCCAGATGTCGGAAGTACAGCCTCGACACATCCATACCCCAGAGCCATGGGCTGGGGGCTGAGATCAGAGAGAAGGAAGTATTTCTTCCCTTTCTCGGAAATCCAGGAAGCCAAAGAGGTGACTGTGCTGGAAGGCAGGGGTCACAATTTAAAATGAAGGCAACCAGTGGCTGCATGTGTACAACAAACACTTTCTGAGCACCTGCCGTGTCCCGGGCTCTGCTCTAGGTCCTAGCGATGCTGTGGTGAGCGACAGAGGCTGGTCTAGTAAAGCTTATACTACCCTGAGGGGTGAATTATTTAGGGAGACTTGTAAAGATGCAGATTTTGGCTCAATAGGTCTGGGATGGCACCCACGTTTCTGCCTGCCTACAAACTCCCAGGAGACACCACTGCTGCTCAAGCCAGACCCTCTTTGACTAGAACATGGACAGCTTTGCAACCTTGGCTTCACAAGGAAACACTCTCCCCACAACAGAGCCACATGACCAGAGACAGCAGCTTTTGCTTGGCATCTACCTTTAATGCATGGCTCCTACCCCTGTTGGCTCAGCAGAGCACAGGTCACCATGCCTGACGGCTGGCCTACTATTCCAGAGAGTTTCATAAATTCAGGAGTGGAGGGAGAGTGGCCTTTACCTGCCTCCAACTTTTGTCAGAAAAAAATCTCAGGAGCCTCCCACTTCACTGAGGGCGGCAGGCACAGACGGCTGACTGCATTCTGATCTGAGCTTATTTGTAAAATACTCCCTTCTTTACGAGACTAGATCAACAGCAGGGGTGAGTGAGAAGAGCATGGTTTGCTTTCAGCTCTGGCACCCCTCACCCTCCTCCTTGAAGGCTCTATCTGGAACACAGCTCGGGCCACTGATGAGAAAGTCTGCCAGAAGGAGAGCTCTCGACCACTGACTGAGCAAGTCAAGACAAGTGGCCTGGTGACATCACCAGCCAAACACA